AAAAGATAAGTAACGTTTATCATGGTGGAATATATAACGAGGATAAGTAAAAGATAAGTAACGTTTATCATGGTGGAATATATAACGAGGATAAGTAAAAGATAAGTAACGTTTATCATGGTGGAATATATAACGAGGATAAGTAAAAGATAAGTAACGTTTATCATGGTGGAATATATAACGAGGATAAGTAAAAGATAAGTAACGTTTATCATGGTGGAATATATAACGAGGATAAGTAAAAGATAAGTAACGTTTATCATGGTGGAATATATAACGAGGATAAGTAAAAGATAAGTAACGTTTATCATGGTGGAATATATAACGAGGATAAGTAAAAGATAAGTAACGTTTATCATGGTGGAATATATAACGAGGATAAGTAAAAGATAAGTAACGTTTATCATGGTGGAATATATAACGAGGATAAGTAAAAGATAAGTAACGTTTATCATGGTGGAATATATAACGAGGATAAGTAAAAGATAAGTAACGTTTATCATGGTGGAATATATAACGAGGATAAGTAAAAGATAAGTAACGTTTATCATGGTGGAATATATAACGAGGGTAAGTAAAAGATAAGTAACGTTTATCATGGTGGAATATATAACGAGGATAAGTAAAAGATAAGTAACGTTTATCATGGTGGAATATATAACGAGGATAAGTAAAAGATAAGTAACGTTTATCATGGTGGAATATATAACGAGGATAAGTAAAAGATAAGTAACGTTTATCATGGTGGAATATATAACGAGGATAAGTAAAAGATAAGTAACGTTTATCATGGTGGAATATATAACGAGGATAAGTAAAAGATAAGTAACGTTTATCATGGTGGAATATATAACGAGGATAAGTAAAAGATAAGTAACGTTTATCATGGTGGAATATATAACGAGGGTTAGTAAAAGATAAATAACGTTTGTCATGGTGGAATATATAACGAGGAAAAGTAAAAGATAAGTAACGTTTATCATGGTGGAATATATAACGAGCGTAAGTAAAAGATAAGTAACGTTTATCATGGTGGAATATATAACGACGGTAAGTAAAAGATAAGTAACGAAGGCCACATGGGCCAGAATAGATTATTATTTTTCCAAAATGTTCAAACCTCTAGATATATATTTCACCATTATGTACAGTAATATGTCGCTTTTATATATTTTACAAAGTTAACTACAACGAAAGTATGACTTGTCAAATTCAGTTGCCATATGTGTGGTATCTTATTACAGAATAATTAGTTAATCGAATTATGGTAATAAGGTTCTTTTGCGCTTGCAAATATTTGTCACTAGGTGCACAACAAATTGCACATTTTTACAATTTCTGACTCTGTGGGCAGTTGTCCTATATATATTTTGCCTGTTTATTCTCGATTTATTTGAGAAGATGTATTGAACATCTACGAGAAACAAGTTCTCCGACAAGAACAACAGAAGATAAACAATGCCCTTTTGTCGTGATACTTGACACTGTGTAAGATGGGCGATTGTTTTGTATTGCTGGTGAAAGTGAATATTTTTGTACGTTTCGCCTCTGAGAAACCACATATAAATGCAATTTTGGGTCTTAAATCCCACAAAGGTTAATTTTGAGTCAATTTTGTTTTCTGGATTACACAGAAGCGAGCGTCATGCTTGATGTTTATTTCAATCAAAATCAATCAAAGACATTAATCTATGTGCATCGCTTGTCTACACATGGACTCAACACTTGATGGAATTGCAAACGTATTTCAAGTCATCTTCATAGCAATTTCGGAAGGATATCCTGACAGGTGTTTTTCAGTAAATCTAGAAATAAAGATAATCTTTGTTTTATTTGTTCGTTAGTACATCTTCATATATATATATATAATAAATGCGGGAACCCTCATTCGACAAAGGAAACAAATACCTCGCTAGTTAACATTTCAATACGAAAGAGGTTTTTGGAAGCGCGTTGTACGTGTATGGTCTGTTAGAAAAAACGTGGTCGCGCATGATTTATCGTTGTTACATCGCAGACGCGGTAGAAATATTAATATACGGAGAGGGTGAAGAATGCCTCGAGGGTTATATATTATCTCCGCCTGTATACAATCTCACAGTGCGCTGTTAATACCATCTAATTGTTTGTATTGCTCGGTAGAAGTGTTAATTAACAACCTGCTTGCGGGCACTCTTTCTCTAAGATAATTGATACATTATTGATAACAGTCATTATAACTTGGCAATAAAACAGGAAACAGGTCCCGACAGGAGAAAACAGACAAAATACCAACACTGGACAGTCAGTATGAAATAACTATAAAGTAATGATTTAGCCGATCAACATCGGTCATCCTGTTCTTTCGATATAAGGAAAAAATTAAACAGGAACAAAAAAAATCCGGCACTAGTGGTAAAAAAAATATGTTAACTCTTAGTTTAATATATGAACCTACTTTGATCAGTGTACGGTCTAGACCAGAACATCATTGTGCAGTTCCTATCCGTGTATTTGTATAATAATAATAATAATAATAATTCGAGGTTCTTAATATCCGCTTTATCACAACCTAGTTCGTACAGGTCGTCTCAAAGAGGTTCACAAATTATTATCCGTGGTTAATGGGCCTTTGAAACCAGACAATATCTTTCTCAACACCATGGGGAGCATTCAGCCGTTGCTGCCATTTCGGCGCTCATAGCTAGCATTCTACCATTCTAGCACTGCCCAACCACGTACTCATTTACAGCGGAGTAGACTGGATCAAGCGGAGTAAAGTATGGTCCCTTTGGTCACGAGCCCGGCTTCCTATCACTAGACTACCGTGCCTCCTAATATCTAGGTTCTCATATCATGAGGCGACGAATTGTCACCATGATTTTTTCGACACCTAATGATTAGCTTTCATTTATCGGTTTTGTATCGGTGGTGTAGTGGTTGGAGTCACTGGTATTTTCATAAAATTATCTTCTTTCGTTATTATTTGTTTTGTAAACATTACCAGAGGCGGGTCGAGAATTTAGGACTTGGTCGATCTTTCGCCATTGCTGAATATAACTTGGCAATTTACCTTATACGAAGACTTTTAACGTCCATGTACAACTCATGTCTTGTTCATACTAATGAACCTAATGATTATAACTTTATCTTATGTTTGAAACGAAATCTTTATTAATGTTTTAATCCCCAACTGTCGGTGTGTATTTCTCCGTAAAAAGCTTTCTGATTTCTTCTGAAAATGTTGACCGAGTTATTTCAGTCTGCACTGAGCAAATGGAGGCAACCATTTCGTCTGAATGGGACATCAATTTTAACCTCTGGATGGAGCGAATGCTTTCTACACTACGCTGTTTTTCACACTAATAGTTTTATTATAAAATCTAGTACCTAAATACCCTAAAAACTCGATGATAATCCGACTTGCAGGGCTTGAAAATACGCCTTTGGATTCCATGTAGGAATCATATTTCCGCTCTCAGCTCAAACAGGTTTGATAGGTAATTATCATGCTATATTATTATTTTCGGGCACTTACTTGTTTTAGGAATAACGTATACGAATTATTTTCACTGCCCCGTTTGCTATCATTTAATTATCTATTTAAAGAAGGTATACATTATCAGGTATTTTTACAATTCGCCTCGACGTTTGACATCTTAAATAACTTAATACCTAGATGGCTTCGAATATAGGACAACTTGCAAATATTAACAGCATTTGGAAATATGGCTTTGTTTGTAGGAAATCCGAAATTAGCCGCAGATTATTACCTTGATTTGAGAATGGTTTAAAAATAGATTATATTCGTAAATGATCTTGTATGTATTGTAGTAGTTTGATGAAACCGTTACCTTGGTTTCCGTTTATTGTCTTATGAAAGATAATGTATGGTTATATACCGCTCGTTTTGTTTTGATTCTGTGACGTTCGATCATTCTGTTAAACCGGATTCGTCCAAATCCTTCGCATTTCAAGGAAAAAGGTTAAGCTAGCCATCACTGATGGAGACCGAGTGACTAAGACGGATTATATTATTTACAAGTACGAAGCATTACCAACCATTTATTTGATACACTATTGAACTCCTGTCCCAGGTCCCTCCTGTTACACTATACACACCATGAAAATGTATCGAAAATTGCGTCTGTGATATAGTTACTTATAATTACATTCAACGATATTTTTTGCAGAACTAAATATGCATGGGCAAGATGGTTTGTTGAAGGTTGTCATCAGTACTAAAATAACTACACAGAGTCCCTATCTATTTTCGTCTGTAGCTGGCTACAACAAATCTGAACTATATTCCCTTCAAGTTTAGAATTGTGTTCCGATCAACAAAATCAATTTAGGAATTTTGGAGGCCACAATATAGAGACAAAAAACACTTCTAGTCAAATGAGAGAAGAATAAGACAGAGATCGCGGTACCAAACCCTTAGTACTCTATAATTAAGAATTTTAGAAAATACATAAATATAAATATAAAAAAGAAATCGTTTAATCAAGAGCAGATAACTCTGCAATACGAAAAGACGGAATAGAATCGTTTAACAGTTACGATAATTTGCGATCAAAAAAGGGTTTTAATGAGCACCGATAAACATGTCGTTGGCATTTAGACTAGATTCATGTTTGTTTTCGGTTAGAAAAGAGTTGAACGTAGCACACACACACACACACACAGGTGTTGCACCTTTAAGATTTGATAAGAGATACAATATGACAAGTATTTTTACACTGCATCATACAGCTGTTTCGTCATTCTAGGACTCATCGGTGATGCTAGGGTCCATCAAGTTAGAAATCAAAATTGTCGAAACTACTGTTGAAACAGACGGGCATAAATAAAAAGAAGTACCTACTTGTAGAGCTAAAATGAGTGTCAGTGACAATTTATTCAATTCTTACAATAAACAAGTACAACAAGTCCATTTAGCACATATATTTGTTTCATTTCAATTGTATATCATACAACTACTGTTTAATAAATAAAGGACAAAACCTGTTATCAAGCCGTTAACTCCTATAATATCAGTTTAGCAATTTAATTGCAAATGAAAATGGAAATACTATCACATATTTAGAAAATAATTCGACAAAACTATTTTGAAATCCAGGCAATGTCTGTTAACAAAAATATTGAACAGTAAAATGTATGTTATCTTAGTAACAGATTATTAAATAACAAAGAGATTCGATCACAATATGGATATTTAACCGAAAAGTTTAGACATCAATTTAACATAAAAACCTATACCCAAAACAGCGAGTATGAATATTAAAATGCCATGAAATGTTATTATACTACCAGATTGAGAAGTACATCTCCAAGGCCTAAAACGCTCGATAAATTGCAGTTCTGTTGGTCTTTTCATCCACTCCAGCGTCTGATTGATATTAACGATATACACATCATCATACTCCAGCAGGTCGTGTATCACCAAGTCCATCGCTTCTACATGTTCCGCCTTATTGAACCATTTCGCGTGCATGTGGATTCCAAATGGAGCTCTGTTTCCATGGTAATGGCTACGGAAATTGTCCATAATGTACTTGTAGGTTTGATTCATAGATAATGGTTTGTTTACACAGGAGTCAAGGAATCTACAAGCTCCCCAGTCTCCGTAATCCCTCATGGCGTTGACAGGTACCACCCAGAATCCCGGATGTCTGTTTGTAGGACATGGTTGTATTTCACAAGACAATGTCCATCCATAATCTAACGTAAACGGCCATGGATTTATATCTGTCATAGTCTTCCTTGTATAGAGCAAAGACACATCGTAAGCAAAGCTCAGATTCTGTAAGACCTCTATTTGTGCATCCCCTGCTGTCCGCAGATAGGGACTTCGCCACCCATGGATCATATCCTCCGTGATGTTTTTTGAGAGGTTGATAATGTTGTCTCTCTGTCCTTTGGCTTCTGCTCGGAGCTTCTCGCCCGTGTCAATGACAGTATGGCTCATACTGTGAACCGCAATCTCAAACCCTCTGTCGTAATACTCATTCAGCGCAAGATAATCTGTGTCTTCTCCAGAAACATATAAAGTCATACTGATCGGACAATCATTTGGATTTTTGCGCTCTTGACCGAATAACCTGTTGTAGTAAGCTTCCGCCTCAGGTTTAACCCCATCATCCACGCCAAAGTAAACAATCTGTGGAATCTCCTTTGGGTCGAGCGGGTGATTGAATGTGCTGCAAAAACAGTCTGGTAGCAGACAATTCTCACCTTGATTACATACCGGTAAAAATGAGCTGATTGATAAAGGAAATAAAACGCATACGACAGTCAGCCTAATGGTCCTAGTGGTAGACATACTGATAGACCTAGCTACCAATGTGTCAGATTTTATACAAAAATACAACTCCGTTGCTGTCGATGGGCCAAACGTTTATTAATTGTTACGTGTAGCTGGAGGCAATAATGTATTATGCAGACTTGATAAAGGAGTATGCCATCAAAGAGTGCTGCTACTATGTGGTGTAATTTTGTGTGAAAGGTTTAATAATATTAGTCTAATGCCTTTTAAAAGATACTATAGAGTGAAGGCTATATTCCTCGTTTTATTATCAATTTTGTTTACATCAAAACCAGTCTGCATCTTCTAATTGATGATGCATTTAGGTAAACTATTTAATGAGCTCTCAATAACAGTAATATTTTATATAAGATGTGATAACATTGTCAAACTAGGGAAAAAGGCAACATGATAAGACAAAAAAGAAAGTATTTGTTGAACGTCGCATTCAAGAAATTGTATCTCATTGCCTTTTCTGATACACCAGGTAGAAACCACTCGCTAAGTAAACAGTGCCGTCCTGTTTGTTTGCTCTACGTGTTTTTGTGCCCTTGCACAACGCTGACGTCATCGAGTTGTTGGTAGTGTAAGTAAACACTTAGTTTACTGTTTGTCTGCGAGGACGTGGCGGCAAATGGGGCGAAACAAGTATATTCCCACTACTTTGCTCAAGTGCTAGGGGAAAAGTTGCTTTTTATAATAACCGTTTTATTAGATTAGCAAACAATATCAAATCACACAGAAAACGCATATTATTTATATTTATTCAACAAGTCACCATCGTCTGCTGAACAAAAACGCATGGCTGTCATGTGGTCTGGTTCTTCTTTTGGCGTTTCTTCCGGAAACGCCAAAAACGTAGCATGTTTTCAGTGATTTTCATTTTTATTTGCAAAACAGTTAATTGTCATTCAATAAAAAGCAGATGGGAAAGTCGGAACAGTTTTGTTAACATTTCTCCTGATACATTTCCGTAATTTTGGATCACAGTATACAATGTGGGCGCTATAAGCAAGCGTGCACATAACGTGGGCATATTGTGCCAGTATTCAATAGAGACGAGGTGATTAATTATATTTGTGCTTGGAGTAAAGGAAGTGGTTACAAACTAACTGTCCAGGTAAAATAATTGACTAAACGGGAATCATGTTGCGGTTTCATTTTGCTCTTATTCGTTAATCGGCAATTTCAACATAAGAGTTCAACAGTGACGGGACCCTGTATCCATCAGGTCATTCACCTGCACAAAAATGCTCGTGCGTAGCCAAATCATGCTTAGCAGGTTGGTTCTACCTGCCTTTATGGTCATTTCTACTCGGTTGTGATATCGTGTGGTTATCTGATGTCAGCGGTTCTGTTCTACCTGCCTATAGGTCATTTCTACTCGGTTGTGACATTGTGTGGTTATCTGATGTCAGCGGTTCTGTTCTCCCTGCCTATAAGGTCATTTCTACTCGGTTGTGATATTGTGTGGTTATCTGATGTAGGCGGTTCTGCGCCAGGGGAAATAAATAAATATTACGCTTTGAGATGTAACTACATTACAGAAAAAGTGTTTGCCTTTTTAACGATATTTTAAGCCAAACAATAAACTGTGATTATAATTATACGATGTATAGCGTGATGATACACATACTCACAAGAAACTATGAATATTCATAACCTTGCCTCTTGGTTTTCAGCGAACACTTTTCAGGAGAGGTAAGCAACTTTTGTCGACCATTGTTAATGGAGATATTTTATTTCATTGTTTTCAATAGTTCAAACCTTAAGTGACCTGGGGACGAATTAGCTTGAGGGTTAAACTAATAAGAACGATCAGTAATGTAAAAAAAACGTTTTTATAAACTGCACACTTTATAAGACATAAAATTGTACCCAATTGTAATTGATATCTTATTGTTTATAAGCATTTACGTAAGGTTACCATTTTATTAACATATATTAGATATAGCATGTTTACTAACTATAAACTCAAATTAAGATTGCTTTCTAATGATATAATCAAGTAAAGCGTAATTATCAACTAAAAAATTAAGTTTTCTATTCGTGTAATTGCTAAACTGAAGATCATCGTTCTTACTTACAACAAACTTAAGTTAGCTAGCATGATTGAAAGTGGTATATTTACTAACGATGTAGTTTTGGTTAATACCAGCAAAGTCATCCAGCATAAACAATAAGGTTACTTATGTAAAAGCAGTCAAAGTAGGCTGTCTATCTAGTTTCAAAGGAGCTACTGGTAAATATAACGTACTGGACGTGACCTGGACCATGTACTGTTTCTGTATTGGGACCCAGCAGCTAGTTTGAAACACGTTCGTTACTCGATCTCTTTACATAACACCCAGTTTTATACGATGTATGATATCAAACAGCAATTATAACCATTGTAAACCCATTATAGTACTTCAAACCATTTACACAATGTGTCAGACAAGAATACAAAACATTCTCGCTGTTCGTTTCTATTTGCTATGGTAAATTGTATAATTGCACTAAGTGAAAAACAGCATCCCATTGAATTAATACTTAGTAATTTGTTTGACTCTCCGAATGGGTTACACGGTATTACGTATATGGGTTTACCTAATGGGATTTACAGCAGGCGTGGGACGTCGCTTACGTACCTACGGGGAAAGCCATTAGTATCATAACAACGTCTCGAGACATGCCCGTACAGGTATAAGTAAGGCAGATTACATGGTGGTCGGTTGTATCAGTTTATATTACCTCAGTTGGATCAGTTAAATTACCAAGTATGGAAAGGAGCGTTTTGTGTTTACTTCTCATGCTACCTACAATAACGTCGTGTTGTCGTCAAGGTGTTAATTGTCACCTTCCGGACTGTTTCTGTACTACATACTTTCATCCTATAGACCGACATACCATTCCTCAAATGGTGTATTTTGGATTTGATGATGGCGTTCGGGAGCACATCGTGCCATATGTTGACCAACTGTTTGGCGAGCCTCGGAAGAATCCGAATGGGTGTCCACTAAGTGTGACCTTCTTCGTGTCCGGAGATAACACTGATTATAATGTTCTCAGGAATTTCTATCACCGTGGTTACGAGCTTGCCTCCCATAGCGTTACACACGGACACATCAACAGCGCTAAGCGACTCAAAGAGGAGGCAGAAACACAGAGAGACAATATTATTACCGAGGTCCGCAGTGTAACTAAAGATGCAGTTGTCGGCTGGCGAAGTCCGTACTTACAGACGGCAGGTGATGCGCAGGTGGAAGTGTTACAAGAGCTAGGATATACTTACGACATATCACTAACGCATACCAAGGCGAGTATTGAAAACTTGGACCCATGGCCACTGACACTCGACTACGGTTGGCCTTTCAAATGCGTTATTCCACCATGTATCAACAACCGACACCCCGGGTTCTGGGAGATCCCCGTGAACGCCATGAGAGACTACAGAAATGAAGGGGATTGTGTATATTTTGACACGTGTAAAAAAGAGACAGAGACTTTCAACGAAACATATGACTACATAATGAATAACTTTCTGAGTCATTATAATGGTAATAAGGCACCGTTTGGATTCCACATGCACGTCGGCTGGTTCAAACGTCCGGACAATTTGGCGGCGATGGATAAAGCGATTGGGGATATGCTATCACGCAAAGGAGTTTATATAGTCAACGTCAAACAGGTCATCGAGTGGATGAAGGACCCTAAAAACGTAACCCAACTGGACGATTTCCATCCCTGGAGCTGTGCTCAAAAACGTTATATATCGACCGAAATGTCGTTAACAGAAATATTGTTATTGTTATTTGTTATTGCAGCATTAGGTCTTTACATATACATAATGACAAAATGGTTACGAGTTCGTAAGAAATGATCATATTTTAACAGATTGGTTTGTTTTTGTTGTTGTTAAAGTATAGAATACCAATCCGTGTACTAGTTTGTTTTTGTCTTAAATTCAGTGTTTGTGTATAAACTTTGCGAGTTGCAAAATGCCATTCATTTGAATGTAGGTAATATGTACTAACAATTCGAAAAGTATATATAATAATATAGTTTTGATTATGGTCATATAATGTATCTCTGCCATATTTTATAACATAGACATTATCCAAATCGAGGAAAATTGAAACAGCGTTTTCCAGAAAACCCGAATCAATAACACTAATTTGTAAACATCATGAGTCTGAAGATTGACTTGGTTGTAGATACGATTTCATTATATACTTGCGCTCGGAGTCGAGCATTTGTTCATGTTCTTCAGTGTGTCTAAAATACCAAGTGATATTGTACGTTGTACTGTGATTTTAACTACCTGAACACTAGATATTTACATACTACACTGACATTCACTCAATAGCCATTGTTCCTGTAAAATGGAGTTACCATCTCATCACCTGACTGCAAAACGTGACAAGTTTCCGTGACGTCGACAACAATACATGTGGACACAGCTAAGCATTGCTTCAGCAAATTTCAGGCTGTTTCTTTTATTAAACCGATCACATTATAATAAATTTTGAAAATTAAATTTGCGTCTGCTGGTCAGTTTAATGAATAAAATAATTACGAAACATTCACAGAAAAAGACTGAAGTTTCTATTTTTGTCACATAATGAGGTGATAGGTCACATAATGAGGTGATAGGTCACATAATGAGGTGATAGCTCACATAATGAGGTGATAGCTCCAGTTGAGCACGTCATAGTTTGCCTTCTATGATAAATGTACACGCGCTCAACTGAGAAATCACTCCATTATTGACCAAAATATGGTAAATTTATCATAGAAATGCCATTTTTATGTACCGGGAAGCTTCCGCCCAGTCAAGTTTTCGCCCTTCGACGGTAAAATCTGTTTCGACCGTAAAAAAACGCCCTTATTACTTCTAATTAATTATGTTGTTTACTTATGTTCGCTGTTATGATAAATTCACCCTAATTACGGAGGGCGAAATTAAACTGCAGCGAAATTTCCCAGTATACTTTATTCAATTTGCACTTGCTTAAATTGATTTATCACATCATAAACTGACAAAATAGAGAGTAATTCCTTAAAATTTAAATTAATTTTATTTTTACTTTAATTAAAGTCATATATAATGTGTATCAGATTCAGTTTTCTGGTTATTAATACGATCAAACAGATAAGTAAACGAGTTCACAACCAAACAGTCGATATGACACGATTATATTAATATTATATTAATTTCCTATTGAATTTAACAATATATTCATTTTAATATAGAAAAAATAAAATTAACGACCGACTAACAAATTTCATTTTAATATATATATATATGATTTTGTATTTATTGCGTCATTATACTAGTAACCTACGAATTCTGAACACCATTTCATCTCTCTCTCCAATAACTACAATGCTCGATATCGTTTTACTGGAGGGGCGTGGAAGAATGACATAACTAATTCAATGGTTGTGTTTTAAAGATACACAAAAATTAAAATTTGCACTTATCACTGTTTAAGCTTATTACCCTTTGAACAACTGGGCCTAGGTTGAAGGGTGCCGACATAAAGATGATATAATGAGTTTGATGTCAAAATACAATGACATCAAAACATCAAACGTTATTGTCAATATAATGGCATCATGAAAAAAACGACTGTTTCACGTCGTCTCTTGAATACATTTTAATTAAAAAATGAAACGAATAAAACACCCGAAAAGAAAATTGGCTAGGGTTATACCACCATTGGATGTACCACACATGGTATCCCGATATAATGAACCGGACACAAATAACGCAGTCCAGTTTATCGGGTGTGGAAATGGTTAGTGGAAATGTATGGAAAATGTACTGAAAATGCAATGGTCATTATCTCGGTTAGTGTACATATTTGTTATGAAATTTGGGGTACAAATGGCATAGTAGAAGGCATTTAATACGTCATTTAACTTGTTAGTAGCATTTACGATTGAATAACCTTTACAACGTTTTCTGCACTTTCTTAAGCTATTTGCACAGTTAGTTACGATTGGTGAAATCTACTGAAGACCTGTGTGTAATACTGGGTTAAAAGACTTCACATAATTCGTACAAATCCTATGCTATAAGGATAGGGGTTGTCATATGTCGGTACCGAACACCACGGAGTCGAGAACCATTTGTGCATATAACGCACGTTGATAAACGGGCACAAAGAATAATAGTGTCTCTATGAATATTTGGGGTAATATCGTCCAATTAATGTCTGATTTTCGAGCACTTCTTTTATCCGACTTGTCCTAGAAGTCCTGGGAATCCTGGTTCCGTTACGTAAGGTTCTGGCTGTGTATCCTAGATTAACTGACGCTATTCTAATATACGATCGCATTGTTTTCGAACACAGTGAACCACTAAGATTATCTTTCGATTCTTTGCAGGTGAAGATAATATTCGCTTCGGTTTTCCTTATGCAAGTCGCTTCTTATATCTTTATATCATGGATAATGATATCAAAAAGCTAAAGGATCCGAAAACGTCAGTTTATAAGATAATGTACTTATTAACATCGAAAGACTTGACATCTTTGTGTAACTATTCTGTGCATGCATACAGTGGAAACACATATATTGATATACCTTGAAACAATATTTTCTAAGTATTGTATTCAGACTTCTAATAAAGATATTGGTAAAATGATAGAGAGAGCTCCAGAAGAGTTTCAAGGTAGGTATTTTGTACTTGAAAGAATTATTGTTATATTTTATGCAATATTTTTCAAACAAAATTTTCGGATGGAACTTGTTCAATGTAACACTCGAGCTACTTGTGTTTATTTGTGCGCGAGTCCGTGATATTGTGCCCGAACATGATAACCCCTATCCTAAATACATAGCATTAATGCTAATTTTATGAAATCTTTCAACTTTGCATTACTCACAAGTCTTCAGTAGATTATAATTAAGTGAGGAAAATATTCAAAGAACACACAAAATACGTTAAAAAGTGAAAATAAAACCAAAAAAAATATACAGCGGAAAACGTTAAATGTATCTTCAAATACTTTCAATAATGTCATTTCTACTCCAAATTTCACAGATATGCACACTAATTATCAGTCTTTCAACAAAAAGTTAAATAAACTGATATAAAAACCATCGTCTAGGTAAATTTCCCAAACACTTCCACCCGCCCTTTCCATACTTTTTAAGTAATATTTTTTACTTTGCGTTGTTTGTGTCTGCACCCGTACATTATATCGGAATACCCGTGTCTTTGTCGATCCCTCATCACTTTAAACTCTGTTTTTTTTTAAAAGACGACAAGGACCAATATTGGTTCAATAGAAGTGCTTATTTAACGGTGCTATTCTTAATAGACGACATGGATCAATCTGATAGAAAAGCTCTGTAAATAGTGCTATTTTTGATAGAAGCGCGGATCATTCTAATAGAAATGCTCAGTAAATCGTGCAATTTTAATAGACGACATGGATCAATCTAATAGAAATGCTAATTAAACGGGGCTATTTTTATAGACGACATGGACCAATATAAAAGAAATGCTCAGTAAATAGTGCAATTTTAATAGACGACATGGATCAATCTAATAGAAATGCTAAGTAAACGGTGCTATGTTTAATAGACGACATGGATCAATCTCATCGAAATGCTCAGTAAACTGTGTTATTTTTGATAGACGACATGGATCAATCTGATAGAAATGCTCAGTAAACGGTGCTATGTTTAATAGACGACATGGATCAGTCTAATAGAAATGCCCTGTAAACGGTGCTATTTTTAATAGACGACATGGATCAATCTGATAGAAATGCTCTGTAAACGGTGCTATGTTTAATAGACGACATGGATCAATCTGATAGAAATGCTCAGTAAACGGTGCTATGTTTAATAGACGACATGGATCAGTCTAATAGAAATGCTCTGTAAACGGTGCTATTTTTAATAGACGACATGGATCAATCTGATAGAAATGCTCTGTAAACGGTGGTATGTTTAATAGACGACATGGATCAGTCTAATAGAAATGCTCAGTAAACGGTGCTATTTTTAGGTCACATGAGCTTTAGCTCAAGTGACCTATTGCTATCCGTCTTCGTCCGTCAACGTCCGTCATGCGTCGTGCGTCGTACGTCGTACGTCGTCCGTCGTGCGTCGTACGTTGTACGTCGTCCGTCGTGCGTCGTCCGTCGTCCGTCGTGCGTCGTCCGTCGTCCGTTAACATTTTACATTTTTAACTTAAGCTGAAATACTGTCAAAGGGATTTCATTGATACTTCATGGGAATGTTACTGACTACTCCCTGACCAAGTGTTGTTATTTTTCGGGTCGATCAGAAATCCAATATGGCCGCCACGGCCGGCCATTTCGAAAAACTATTTTAACTTAAAGTCAAATTCATCTGGGCCTAATAAACTGAAACTAGGTAGGAATGATCAACTCATGGTCCTGACAAAGTGCTGTTATTTTTCGGGTCGATCATAAATCCAATATGGCCGTCACGGCCGCCAATTTGAAAATATATTTCAAACTCCAAGTCAAGTTCTACTGTGCCGATTTTACTGAAACTTGGTAGGAGTGATCGTCTCATAGTCCTGACAAAGTTTTGTTATTTTTCCGTCGATCAGTAATCTAATATGGCCGCCAAGGCCGCCATTTTGAAAATATATTTCAAACTTAAAGTCAAGTTCAACTGGGCCCATTTAACTGAAACTTGGTAGGAATGATCGACTCATTGTCCTGACAAACTTAATTTAACGTTATACTAAACTATGTTTTACTCGCATTTTGGTAGGGATGTTGACATCATTATCTCCACTTAATATTTCAACAACAAAATTTAATACTGTAGGAATCAGGTGACCGTTAAGGCCCATGGGCCTCTTGTTAATAGACGACACGGATCAGTCTAACAGAAATGCTCAGTAAATAGTGCTATTTTAATAGACAAATACTGAGTAAACTGTGTCATTGTTAATAGACAAGGACCAATATCTTGGTGATATAAAAGTACTAAGTGAACTGTGTTTTGTTCTGTTGTTTCATTTTAATGGCCACCATCTAATGGCTTACAACATATTTGTTTTAATTTAATTTTATATTTTTTAATTGGGGGGGGGGGGGGGGGGTCTTCTTTTTTCAAAGAATGCTTTTTACTTTTTGGTAGCCTCAATATTGATAATAGTGTACATTAGACTTTTATAAGAATGCACACTGTAGGTCTAAGGTCAAAACGTTCATAGTGTTGCATAGAATAGAACAAACCATTCAATTAATAATATATCAGGTAAAGTTTGGACATTTTTGTTCACTCGCAGTTACTTATATATCAAATAATCATACATAACACTCGTTTTGCTCTACCGCTGGGTGAGACGCTGTGATGTTTACTTAAAATTAGATTTATGTTCCGTCCTTCAAAATGCTATGGAACAAAGAACTTCTAACCAAACAGACGGGGGAAAGGGATAAAGAAATTCTAACCCCACAGACGAGGAAAAGGATAGAGAAAGATACAGTGAGAGAGTAATCGGATCAGCTATGGGAGAGTTAACGCATTGCAAATCCACTCATTTAAACGTCTTCATTTTGTATGTTAATTGTCATAATAAATTTCAATTGAACATTTGCTATTTCTTAAGGAGCCACACCTTTGAGAAGTGGCAAAGTAGGAAATGCAAGAAGAAGAATATGTCGTGTGCTGTTTTTGTGTTATGATAGGTCAAAGATACCAACTTGACATACTACATGTACATGTGTGTGATTTTAAGTAATTTTTTCGGATTTGACCTTTTGCAGGAAAGATTCACAATATCATAAAATATAAGTGTGCTATCAGATTTGTATGAATAATTGCATAATTGACAAAAAAAAATGTGTTTTCTTTTAAATTATGAAAGAAAGATTTCTTTAATTTTTTCTTTTAACTCAGAAAAGCAATTTAAGTTACCACTACCCGTTATTTGTTAATGACAAAATACGCATATTTTCGCCAATTATTGCAGATTCAATAAAAAATAAAAACTTTTTTTTAAATATTTAATGTATCAAAAGAAATTATTGTTTTTTTCCTCAATCAGCCATAAAAAGAGGGAGTCCATGTGCTTATTTATTTTGTCCCATCATTATTTGTGTTATTTTTCACCGTTTCGGGGTCCAAAATCAAAAGTGCTTCAGTTGAAAAGCAACGATGAAATTACCACAATAAAACATGGCGGCATAATGCTGATTTAAGTGA